AATCCGATCGAATACATAATATTTCATCTTCTTCTTTTTTTTCGACTCCACTATTTAAACAGGCGTATTTTTCTACTATCGTCTTTTATACATTTATTTGTGTGACACGTGTCTATTCGATCAATAAGATTCCCATGAATACAAAAGACAGATAAGCGTATTTCTATGAGTGAATTCGTGCAATGACAAAACGATTTACTATTGTTACACGTATGTGATACAATTTGATCATTTGACTTAATTTCGAAGATTATGCATTTTGATACAGAAATCGCTAACAGACTCTGTCAGGTTGTTAAATTTCTATAAAAATATACTAAGTAATCTAAATTTATTCAGTCCAATAATCCTCATACTATATAAAACATCCATCGTGTTGAGAGAGATCTCATAAAAGAATCTTCAATATGATTTTACCGAAGAATTTCAGGTATATTATCAGCAAAAAATAAATGTTCTTTTTGATATTTATCAAAAAATTCTGCAAATTTCATTTGAGTTCGTTGACGTTGTGTCATTGATTCAACATAAATATTTGCTTTTGATAATCCTTCAACTTCATTTTCAAGTTGTTCATCTGTTTTCCATATATTATAATACTGATCGTTAATTAATACTTGACGAGATAGAATTGGTTCAGATTTTGGTAGATAATATGTGAAAAATTTTAATATATTTGGATATTCTCCATTGATTTCTTCAATATTTACTAATGATCCTACTGTACCAAATGGTTTTAGATGACCGGGATTTGAATGACTTGATAATGTAAGGTTAATTAGGGAGACCAAGAGAATTAACATTAAAGAATACATCTAAAATAAATCGATTTTTTATCAATCATCCGTGTACATCATAAACAGATTATAGCTTCGAATAGACATATTAAAAAAATTAAATGTATATTTTTAAGAGAAGGATTAAGACTCGTTTAAAATCCAATTGAAAAAATAAACACAAACTAGTCTGTCTGGTAGAAACAAATGATTCTGTACGATAAACAATTATCCAATAAAAATATGATATGTGTCATCCTATCGATGTCGCTTGTGTGTAGAACTATGCCATAACACCTCGACTTAATGAAGAATCATATAAAATCAAATAAGCTTATATGTATATATATTTCACGATCACATATCAAAATAATCTTAAAGACATATTCTCAATCACATTATAGTTTCCTATGTCGAGCAATCGATTTTTATATCCTATCTACTTGATAACACTTGAAATTACTTTCATAAGGCTATTCTTAACACTTCATAGTAGATTTCACTTCTATTATTACTATCAAAAATAATTTAAAGTCAACTTCTTACAATCCCTAAAACATTACCCCATCTCATTCAACTCAAGTGAACCTATTCGAATGTCTCATCGAAGTATTAATCATCCACTATCCACTACATTTTCAAAGATTTTTATACCAAACATATAATTATTCGTGTGTAAAAATAACAATTCTTATCAATTCTATTTAAATCTCAATACTATCATTTATTTGGCAATTACACAAATAATTACATTTTAAGCCATATCTCTTATACTACTCTTCAATGATAAACATCAGTATCTTAATTATTCGAACTAAATAAAACTTCATCTTCTACTATTTATTTTCAATTAATATCTCCTTATCAAAATCTATCTACTCAACTTTTATACACCTCCAATAGTTTTTACTATTTTATCTCTATGTTTCATGATCAAGATTATTTAATTTTAATAATATTATTAATAAATAATTTCTCATTCGTTTCCTTTTCTGTTTTTAAGAAAATAAAACTCATTGATTTCTACATTTAATATCATTTAGAATCAAAATCACCATTCATTTTTGTTTCTTTTTCACATTTACAAAAATAAATCTAATATTTGTTTCATATTATTAAGTGCAACTTTTGTCTTACTATTTTTATCTCATTTTTTTACTCTTTCTTTCTTTCTTTCTTTCTTTTATAAACTATGAATATTATACACTCATCAAACACGCAATAAAACAACGTCATTAATACACTCTCTTAACTATTCTCATGCTAAATATAATC